ACCTGCCTGTCTTTCTAGTTTATTTCTATCTCATATCTCTGCTTTCATACAATAACAGGGAGACGGTCAATTCAATCGTCGGCTAATGAGGTCACGCCGCTCACGCGGCGAGAATCGTCGCGCGCGGCAGTTGCTGCGGCGATTTCTGTGTGGACCTTTTCTTATCCATCCATGCCCATAAGTTGGCTAGGTGACTGATAACACCAGAGTGCTGGACATCAGTAAGCCAGCAAGCGTCACTGTAAGATCCCTGCAGTGATTTAAGCCTCGTAGAACCTACTTCATGTTCCATTACTGGAAACTTAATCTAATCTTACATTCCCCAATGTTTGGATGCTGAGTTCTTTGCAAATTCGCCGCGATATTGCTGGCTGCGGCGGCTGGCGCGGCGACCTACTTACTGCCACGATTGAATAGTCACGCACCCATATAATGTTACTGTATAGACCGAATCGCTTTCAAGTGTCACACGAATGTATATATGGGAACAGAATGCCGCATCCCAAAAGGGGATTGATCAAGGGCATATGTATCCTCTATCAGAGGGCCTGAGAATTAATTTAGAATACGCCGCTTACTTTCCTCTGACTTGTCATTCATCCCTACCCAAATCAGCTTTTTTTCCATTACCTGCCACCTATGTTGAACTCCAGTTCAAGTTTTTCTTTCCCTTTCCACATAGTTACAGTTTTTATACTTTATCTCTCTTCATTTCATCCTCCAATCACGTGCATTTCATCCTCCAGTCACCTGTTCCTCTCTATGAGTTTCGCTACAACACAGTGAAAACCTTAGTATAGTACTACTGATCCTTATGACATAGCTTGATATATAAAGCGTACTATAACGAAGTGAGTTGGAGCAATCATACCACCCTTGAGCATTCATTTCAAGCTTTACATTAGTTGGTTAAGCAGTTGAGCACCCGACGGCTGTACAGAGGATAGATTTCCCATGTCATATTTAGCTCGAAAAAGCGACGGTTCTTAGCGGATGTGAAAGAATCAATCCACGTCTAAAGTGGGATCGTTTGCGGGGAGGTAAATCACTAAATAATGAGTTCGTTCAGCATTTTATCGCAGACACCGCACTCATGTCAGGTGTTAGTACCGTAGGTGATTTTTTTCAAAGCGATTGATGACTCGACTCATCGGCTTGAGAAATACATCGACCGTTCTTACGATCTATGCAATGAGTTCCTTGCAAAACTGCAGATTGAGAAAAAACAGAGGCTGGATAAGTTTCTAAAAGAGTTTCAAAACAAAAAAGAACATCTACAGAGGCAGCTAAAGTTATTGCACCAGAGCTAGGGCACCGTTTCGAAACACTACCGCTTATTCAAGCGAACTACTTTGCTGGGAGAAGTTCACGGTAGTTAGACCAAATTTGCGAGGGAAGCTAAGAAATAAATAAACTCAAGATCATAATGGTTTTAGCACTGCACCTTCTGGGTAGTAGAATGTCACAAAGATTAGATATTCATTCACTTACAACTGAAAGCAGGGTATCTAATCGAAAGGTATCATCTACAGAGAATGAAAATAAAACTTGAAAATTCATGAGTAAACTGGAGCAGTTACTGCGTATTTGATAAAAAATTATTTATTAGCCTTGAAATAATCCCCTGTGCATCTACCTTTGAGCCACAACTAACTTCAAGAAGGCAGTAGCGAAATGGAAGGAATGTCCAAATTCATGGATCACCAAAAGAGGCAACCCCAGAGTTTCGAATTTTCGCACCCTGTGTCATCAAATTGGCGCTATCTGGAAGTAGCAAAGCTCCGCACGCTTGTCCCTCATTTAAGGGTTAAGTTAATGATGTTATGACGTGAAGCTACAGTTGCGAATAGGACAATGTGCGATCATCGCCATACGGTAGTGCAGGAAAATGCCGTGGTGGAAGGAGACGGTAACCGCTGCCCTTATGGTTAGAGAGCTTTCGCGTCGCACTGAAACAGCTACCCATGTCGCAGATTCCGATAGGAGATACCACCCACTTCTAATGGGAAGTCATCTAAGAGAGAATTAAACAAAAATTACAGCGAGCTTTGCAATCGTTGATCTCTCTAACAAGGTAGGTTTTCTGCGAGGCACTGCTGCCTCCATTTGACCGTAATTTCCCATTCGCCTATGACGTCATCCATAAACGTTATCCCACAGATGCCCCACGCTTCGCGAGTTTCATGCTTATTTCGAGTCTCAAGGCATCCAACTTTGCTGTGTGGTTGAACGATCCATTTTCATAATGAATCTGCAGAGCAAACTGTTTTGGCGACCTCTCTGTGAAGTTCAGGAGGCTCACAGGGTCAGCTATTTTTGCCCCATATCAAACTCAGGTAAGCGTTATGAGAATCTGAACGAAATATCGCGCCACACTGAGAAGACATGAAAACCAAGCCTATCCTTTTAACTTGTGGTTAGCAGAAGAAATTGAAAGCTATCTGAGCTAAAGTGTGTTGTGTTCAAGTTATCCCTCAACGATGTTTTCGGAGAGCAAAGCAGCAAAAGCAAAACACGCGCAACTCCGGCGCGATTGGGACACCTTCGCGGAGCACGCAGAGTGGTCTGAAAGATCGCTTACGTTGCACAAAATTGGGTAGTACCTGTGTACGACGAGTTCGATTTTATCGCGTGAGGTGACGAGGAGACGATCGACGGCGTTGATGTCGAGATTCCCAAGACCCTCTAACTGATCGATGATATCTCCGTCCCGAAGACCAGCGCGATCTGCTAATGAGCCGCCAACGACCTGCAAAATCAGTACAATTCAGTAGTACTCCCAAGCCTGAACCTATGCGAAGTTATTTGGTGGCAGAAGGTGCAACGTAAGAGCTTTATGTGGTAGCACGAGTGGAAGTTGGCTTTTTAAGATGAATAATAGCAAAAACAGAGTGGAAAACATTTTAAACCTTCCAACCAGACTAGCAGTCCACTCGTAAATTAAAAATGCTAAGGAAATCGATTATAAGCTTATTGCAATACAAGATGCTTCCTGAAATAAACATGAATGTTGAGCCAGAAGTGGTCTTAAATTAGAACTGAGGCGGCTTAGTCCTTCGTCATTTTCCAATTCTGGTGTTTTAAAATCTTCCACAAAAAGATTTCCGAAAATAATAAATTTTTTGGCGCTATCGCAAACACGGGGCATTGCGGTGGCACTGCATTCAAGTCCACGTAAAACATGCCTTTTTTGCTTGAAATGCACTAAGCCTTGGGCAGGGGAGATAGACTCAACGGTACGTGAGCGATTTTCGTTCTCCTCGAAGTTCCTGCCCTCCTGGCCTTACTCCTACAGGAGAACTTGTATACTGCGATAGCCCCCATCACCCCCATTTTTGATCATCCTGTGCTCCCTTCCACTTGTGACAACATGGTCCTGTGAAGGGATGCGGATGCCGAAAAAAGGTGCTTAATATGACAGAGGGCATTCTTATAATCACGAGATGAGGTTAGGATGACATCTCAACACCTCATGGGACATTAAGTCTGATGAAGTTTCCCTTCTTTCTCACCAACCTCGTCCTCCTATCCTCGCTCCACTGTCCTTCAGCTTCCACTGCAACACCAGAGGAATGGCGGAGACTGTGCTCTGAAGGGATTTACGTGGCCGTTCAAGATGTTACCACAATTGCAAAACACCAACAGCGCAAATTCTTCGAGAATCCCGAGTCTGTTACCAATTTGTTTATTCCATGAGCCTCCTTACCACTTCACTTCGCGGAAAGACAGACATACATACCATACACAGATGCAAGCCAACACATCGAGGTGGTTTATAAATAGAAGGATATGAAGAAGCGCATAAAATTGGAGCTATGTATTTTTGCTACCAGCTTAGCTACCTACGCAGCCAATCGCATCACATGGTAGGGTCTATCGAAACTGGAACCTATGTAACATAAGCTAGCGCTCTTCACGGAGCACGCGACCTTAGTCGTATGGCCGATTGTTTCATGCCTAAGGGTCAACCCCTCACCAACCTCGCCTGCAATCGCCATCATTCCATAGTATCCGATTCCGCAGGCCAAACTCTGCCCACTTTTACCTCCAAAATTGCCGTCGAGCGGGGGGTATATACCTACCACGAAACCGCAAACATCCTCTCACTTTCCCCCCATTTCCTATTTCACCCATATTTCCACTGCAACATTTTCTAGGGAGGCATATACACACCGTGAAACGGCAAAATTTTAGCGCGCCAACCAACTGCATCATCACTTCCCTTACTGTAACATTAACGCTACCTCGCGAAATACGACCCCCCTTTTTTCCACCCCAAATACGACCCCCCCCACCCCTCGTTGGACTTTGTCCAAAGCACGGTTGACCCTGCTATCATGTAGCGCGCATTTGCTTGCGGAACTGAACTGACACTTGTCATAACTCTTTGAACATCCAGCAATGATCCTGATTTCAGACAGTTTAGCGTCAGGATGGGTTCTATCCTTATAAGTATTGAAACGAGAATAAAACGTGTTGAATCACTGAGCATCATATAAACAGCAAAGAAAAATGGAGTAGAAAGGAATAGAAAATAAATTGCAGAGAGCATCTGATATTCCCCACTGAGAAGTCCATAGATTACCGGTTCCATAAAATCCGCTTCTCTCGATATTGGATCAGGAACGAGACGTGTTTATTTGTTAAGCACTCATTTAGAGGCGGATTTACGATGAAAAGGTAGCTCATTGGAAATAAGGGTAGAGGTGGTCAGTGGAGCAGGGATGAAGAAGAAACCATGTGAAACGGCCCGAAACCCGAGAAATGGGACCCCTTCCTTGCCCGTTGATTTGCGCATTGATGCGACTCATCGCTGTGCCCTCTTCAACACTACGCTCTCTTTGCTATGTCAAGCAGCAAATCATCAAGAGCCACGCTAGATCGCCGGGGCATATTCTTTTTTTTTCGATGCGAATTACGTGTTAGCCCACACCCTTAGGAGTCCGCCTATCCCTCCACTAGGTAAGCTTCCCATGCTTGGGCCTTCCTTCTTATCATGAAATCGTCAAAACTAGCCTGTCACTTTCTATCACTCTCATCTGTGTTCCAGTCAGATCCTCTCCATAACTATAAGAACCGACTTATACCGTTGCTGCAACGAGCGCTGCGAATTTCGTGACTTACACAGACAGAAATGGACATAGCGTTTTATACGTAGAATATTATTTGGCGGACGCTACAAGCAATATCAAATCGTAATAACTGTTCTCTTTTTCCGCAGTCGAGCGAATGTGTAGTGGAAAGTGGCACTCCTGTTACCACGCAAGCGGTCAGAGAACAAATCCCTGGGGTGTAGTCGTCCCAGGCCACCAACCTTCCTCTTCCGTGGTCGGGTGATGTACCAACTTGCCCGGAGAAAAAACACTAAGTGTACAGCAACTGGCCCTCGTAATCATGTATCAGGCAAGTCGTATCAAACGTCCTACTGCGAACGACAATGGAAGTAAATGCGTGAAACCATCCCAAAACGGAGAACACGGCCCCATGCTTCACCACACTCTTTTTCTCCAACTAGAACGGTAATTCGCAATTGATGCTGCTGTCGAAGCATACAATCAAACGGAAAATTTTTTTGGAAAGAATGAGAAAACACTGTGAAAGAGCAAATTTCATAGTTAGCTCTTCGCTATCTAACACGCGCTCTTCTACAAATCGAGTTACAAGGTGCGGCAAATTACTTGTTCATCAATATTAGGTCATCATTCGGAACATACTTTTATAGATCAATTTCAAATATGCATGTCATACTAGAAACATGGAAATCCAAAATAACATGAATGGTTTTCAAAAAGATCGCCTTTCGATCCCCCATCTTTGCAAAGCTCTTAAAGGCAAGATTCGGGATAAAATAGGTGTCTAAAAGCGTTCAGTCATGATACTAGAGGTGGGAGGTGGTCTATAAAAGAGAAGGAAAGCAAACGAAATCACAGATTACGCCCCGTACAGAAACCTCCCCTATTTCAGCAACATTCCACCTTGGGATAGGGAAAAGGCGCGTTGGACGAGTTTCGCGAGCCTGACTCTGGTTGCTCCAGCGCCATTGACACAGGGTCGCGGTGGGACCGCTGCCCCAAATGCGCCCGCGCTCTTCAAGCAGCGCCACGTGGCAACGGACAGCGGAGGGTGGGGCTTGCGGACGAAGGTGTGAGTTGCAGGTCGGACGAGCTGCTTGTGCCTTTGTCGCGCACTTTCAAGCGGCAAAAGGGGTGCGACAACAACACTCGTCCGCCTGCCTACTACCACCGGGATGGAAGAGGCGAGCGCGCCTAATCGTGGAGCGTGCCTTACGCGAACAATTCCACGATCAATCGACTGATCTTCTCACCCGCAAAAATATATCGAAGATGGAGAGGACCGACAGTAAAAAAAGAAAAAATTTGGCGAAGATGCTAATGTTAGTTTGCATAATTTAGTTGTAACGGTAACGAGAAACTGAGCACGGAGGAGAGACGAAGGGCGAGAGAGAACGATGAATGGTAGAGCACCAGACGTCAACACACAGCGGATGAAGAAAAAGGGAAGCAGTCTAGGCGAGACTTGAGCGCCGTTGACTTTGAGCTGAGAACGAGACGTTCAATCCAGTGAGCAGTTAGATATCACCCACAGAAAAGACTGATCTAAATCATAGTATGGTTGTACCTTATACCCTGACCAACGTACGTATGCCTATGCAAGAAAGAAGATCAATCTCGTGCATCGTCTAAAGCGCCATTTGGGAACGAGGTTCGAGTGCACGCAGCAGGTCCTTATTTCGATGAACTCAACGAAAAAGCAGGATTGCTTCCTAATCTTGCGCGTTGCGGCGGTGGGTCACATCTGGTTCTCTCGAAAAGTAATTCATGAACTCCTCCTTACGGATAACAATTTCATCTGACGTTGTTAACCAAAACGCCCGAATCGCAAATAGGGGCATGTGTGACAGTGCCTTAAGTAACCTTTTGCAGAAACGAGCTTAAGGCCTAGCAGAAATAGAACTCAAAGGGCATGCGCAGTTCCATACGAAGTTATTACGCTAGGCTTGGTCTTGGAAGATTCCTCTTACACTGCGATAGTGATGAAAAAAGACACCAAGAGAAAAAAGTACAATTTAGTTTAGAAGTGATACTAATTTTTATCCTCTGGTCCCCTTCGCATATTTGTGATGGAAGTCTCATGTTACGCTCTGAACAGAAATGGCGGTCCTGCCAATGACGCTCACTGGATTAATGGCCTTAACAATTTTCAATCAACCAGTTCCACTACGACCGTTCTGTAGGCCTCTAGAATTCGCCACCTGAACTGCAAGCCGATCCACCTGTCTTCACAAGTTGTTTACCGGGTGATTGGTTTGCGATGTACTGCCGGCTCGAGTTCTTTCTCGACTCAGCCCTCGTTGTTACACTCGTCGTGCAACGCCGCTCATCGCCCCCAGCCATCGCCGCTACTGATGTGCCCGTTGCTGGCGCTGGCGCTCACCGCTGCGTGTCAGGTGCTTGGGTCGCTCTAACCCTGCGTGCTCAGCGCCATGCGGACGGCTCGGTTTAGCAGATATCATCATCGCCTTCCGAAGATGGCGTTCGTACATACAAGCGGAACTTTTTCGGTCATGGGATTAGGTGTTTCACGGCGATCAAGTCCGCATGGGTTCGCTACAAATTCACTACCTTAATGAGCCGATTGATGAAACGGACATCATTCCAACGACGATCTCTCGGTTCAGAATTCTATGGCTACCCCTTTGAAGCGAATGGGGAGTGGTAGATTGACTGGAAGCATATTCAACAAAATTCTTTGAAAGAGATATGATTTTTTTGCGGGCCGATGGAAAATCTTCAAACCCCGTAAAAAACCCCGAATTCGTGGGACTGAGACTGACATGAGACTTTGAGGTGACTTGAAGTCAACTGACAAGGGGGTTTTCAGGGCAAGCCGCTCTCTTTCAAAACGGTTTGCTGCATATTGTAGGGAAGCATGTAGGGAACAAAAACATTTCGTTTTCGCTGAACGCTTATAGCAGTACCAAAAAAGAAGCATAAGGTACAGTCAATGGTTCGATCCCCGTGGCGACTAAATCATTCGAGTGGGCTGGGTTGGCGCCAGATCGCGCTAAATATCAAAATAAGATACCCAGTTAATCGTCAGGACTGTTGAAGCCAACTAGTGGCCTCCAACTTTGATTGCAAAAATTAGCGCGGTCAGGACATATACAAAGGTAGTCATTCACCGTCACTTTGATGCCTACTGGAACCGTTCCGCGTAAATGAACGTGTTGTGGTCCATACATGCGAACCTACAATATGCAATGAAGCGTTTCCAAAAGCGCGGCTTGCCCTGAAAGACCTCCCTTGTGAGCACTGAGCATCTACAAACTCTTATCTTTGAAAAAAATGTGAGCCATTTAAGTTTTTTTTTCAGAGCAAGGTTTTTGAAAGGCTCATTGCATCTTCATATCATGAAAAAATTACCAATTTGGGCAGCTCGAATGAATAAAATGCATTGAATAACCTCACAAGAACAAGCCAATGATATTTATGGGTTAGTTTGGCTTTTTAATTGCCGAGTTTCCAGTCAATGAAATTTTCCACAGAACCGCTTCCACTGCCAATGCTTGCCATCAGAGATGTGTATAGTCCGTGCACTAAGCTGGTGATTCGTTTGAACGTGGAACCCACGCACAAGTCATTTGTTACTCGCTCGTCGCTCAGGCAAACCGCAGCAGGGTCCCAGGCGCAATGCCACACCCAAGTTTTCCGTGAGTTCTGAAGAGACTCGAGAACTCGAGAAGTGGCAGGAGTTATCAGTTTAAAACTTCCCATTTGAAAACAGAAATAGAGAAGTGACAAGAAGCGCTTGTTATGTGCCAACCAGCGTCTACTCAATGGGTTGTGCCAGCGCACCTCGATCAGCTACAACACGTAGGGAAAACCATAAAAACAAATTCATCGCCCGTAGACTCTAACAGCTCTATACAAGCCTACACACAATTTCTCCTTTTGAGGCCTTCGGGACAACAAAATGCTTGAGAAGGCGCAAGAAAAGCTCATGACTCACTATTGGAAAAAGGAGATTGAAATCCGCCTTCTCTTTCTCATTTTTCTCCTATTCCTACACTTGACGAAGAGAAACGCTGAGCTATCCTAGCAACTTGTAGAAGAATGCGACAAATTTCTACAGCTACTGCCGTGGAAGACTAACAAGGGGGCCTTTCAAGACATGGAGCTTTCTCTCAAAATGATTATTTGGATTTTGTGAAGGCTCATGCGGGGAATACAGAACTATAGCTCATTTTTCCTGAACGCCCCACGAATGTCAAAACAGCGGGGAAGAAATGGATCCAATGTTCGATCCTCCGTGATGACAAATTTTTGCAATTCATGTTGGCGCCTCCAAATTGCCGCAAAACACGACAATGACATCTATTCTCGACGATGGCGCCATTTGGCGGCAATCTGGGGCGCCAAACTATATTGCAAAAATTAGTCATCACCGGGATCGAACTCTGGACCATTTCTTCACCACTGTTTTGACATTCCTGGAGGCGTTCAGGAAAATGGATCATGGTTCTGTGTTCATCGCATGAGCCCGTACAAACATGAGAAAACATTAAAAGCGCTCCATGTCCTGAAAAACTTCCCTTGTAAGGACAAGAAAGAATTCTTATCGGCATAAACTAAATCCACATCCTCATTTAACCTGAACCAAACCCTATCTGCGCCGAAGGCATTCGATTGACTTATTCTCTTATTATTTTGTTTACGGGATTTAACTCCGAAATTCTTGGAAGCTTACCATGGAGCTTGGAAGGAGACCTTAGAATGTGTCCGATGAAAGCTTGACGCTGATTACAATATTACATTACTGCTATTTGAACTTATTAGAAAGTCACAAGCATCGAAGTGGAAAAAAAACGTTCTGAGAGAGCATCAATCTATGGAATCACTGGTCGCCTGGTCTTCTGCGCTAAAAAGATAGTCAATTCGTATCATGGGCACCCATATAACGCCTTCAATCAAGAACAAGAAAACCAGGCTAAAAGCAACTGGTTATACGACCAGGTGAGCTCGCCTCGAGTAAAGTTTTTTGCCAACTTTGAAAGCTCATAACGTTCTTAGAGTTTTTAGCTTCAGTGTTCATATTCGTAAACAGCGTTCACGACTCCATCGAGTCATCTACGCCTCCATTCAAAATTCCATGGGAAGCTCAAAACATGTCTTTAAGTAAAACCAAAAAAGCATCGCAGCGTCCCCGGAATTGCTGCAAGTTGTATCTACTTCATCCCATAACAAAGTATATCTCAGAACAAGTGGTAGAAATAACACCAGTCAGCATTTTGGCATTTTTGAGCGCATTCCAAACCGGTTGGTGCATCTATCGATTTGCCGTGATCTTTATATAAATGTTGAATTCGACCTGGCCTTGAGCTTGGTGCGGCTCACATAGCCCCTCTATATCGTACAACTTCCTTTTTCTATTTTTTCCTTCACAACTTTACATCTTCCTGGTGGTCTCGTTCAGACTACGGAAAGAATCGAGACAAGTGCATCTCTCTTCCACATTTTATACCTGAAACTTCGCCGAAAGATGGCTGTTCATCCGAGGAATGCATCGAGCACGAGAGAGAGCGGCAAGAGTCCCGCCGCCGTTAAAAAGGCACAGGCCACTACTGAGGACGTGAACAGGCGCTTCGTGTGTTCAACGATATATATAAATAAACCTGTGATCGTCTACATCCCTCGGACATGAGCCACTCACTGAACACGTAACTTGCAGCCACCCTTCCCGTCACACGCACGCAACGCTGGTAGAGGATATTGAAATTTTCTCAGAGACCTATTTTACTTTTCACAGCAGGCAAACCGCTGCTTTTGAGAGCATGAATGTAAGCGGTAGCTTTGGTTGCTTGGCCGAAGCATAGGTTATTGTCAAGGCTTAAAAAAGGCAATTTCATAATTTTTTATGGCGTGACTACATCCAAATAAGACATATATCAGCTGAAGCACTCTAAACAGCTACACCGGTAAATAGAAGAAAAGGTCATGTACAACTGACTCGAGCCTCTAGAGTACGTAAAAATTGGCAAAAATTCATGAGATATGGCATCTGGAAGTCCGTATAGTTCATAAAAATGTCGCAGATCGAGAACAAAATAATAGCGAATCAAACGACAAGAATTGCGCTCTTTTTAAGACCTGTTCCTTCGCAGTTTATGTGCACTTCAGAGAGGAAGTGCCGAGGAATTACCATACGCTGTCTCTTTCTATCACCGATGCATTTGCGAAAATGTCTCTGCACAAGGTATTTCCCGCAAAAATGTTTAACAACGTCGCAACGTGGCCATTACGCTGTAAAATGGATCCACGTCCTCCCCCTTACTCTCAAGCAACCATGGAGCTGCCGTCTATTCGTTGAAGCTTCTTTCGTCGACATGCAGTGAGTTCGCGACAAGATGTGCGAATAGGTCGGGGGAACGGTCAGCCATGGGTATCCGTTGCTACAAAAATAACTCTGAGAAAATTATAATTGTAATGTTCATAATGTGCGAAAGCAAGGATGTGCAAAAGAAAGGGAGCTGTGTAGTCGAAAATAAATGACTTTAAAGGACTCTTTTGTTCTCCTAGTTTGGGAGAAGGATACGGCCCCTTACCTTGCGGTGGCTCATTTCACGACCTTCCACAATCTTTTCTTGAAGGGTCTCTATGCGGTCCCGTCAACACTGGCCTTCAAGGGATCCCCCTCATATGACACGAACAATCCCATCACCACCCTCAATCATCCCAGCATTCTGAAACCAGTGGAGACACTCCAACTCCGCCTTTATTGTTCTTCGGAAAACAGGATGAGGGATAGAGGGAGGGAGAGAAAGGCCTAATAATATGTGACAGAAAAAGGAAAAAAAATTATGCACGAGATGTATGACTAAAGAAACGGCAAATGCCCCAAATTCGATCAAAAGATGTGTTTTTCAATGTTGCCGGAACCCATCAGTACGACTCCCCCCCACTACCTTTATTACAACACAACCACTCAACTTCTACGATACGATCACCATAAAAAATCTCAAATGCAACCCTCCGTTGAACTCTGCACAACGAACGGTTGGCACTATTCGGGAAGACACTCTCTAGACGATGTTTGATGTTGATCGCACGGAATCGCCATCGTCGACGTGCATGTGCGGATTTCTTTACGGGCCCCATAACTATGCGTGTTTATTGCGCTCAGCTGAGTGCTCAATGCGGTCCTAAGTTTCTTCAGCTCGCATTTCATGTACACGTGCAGCTTTGATTGGATAAGCCTCGACCTACAACAGAACTTCCAGAGCACAGCAACCGTGAGGGCCTGGAGAGCGTTTTTTAACGAGCTCCTAAAAGCCGCATGGCCTCAACTAATATGTTCAATTTTGACAGAAAATGTTGTGAAGTGATATCTATATCATCGTAGCGAGTTGTCTCAACAAAATTAGGAGATCAATCGGCCAATCACTTCCGCATAGAAATATCACCGGTGGGTAGCAACGGGATGGCAATTCGAAAGCTCTTCCAATACAAAAGAGAATAAGGGTTGGTCTAGAAAGAGGAGGAACAGATGAAGTTGAAAGACTCACATTCACGATGATAACGTCGCGATTTGGTGCTTCAGTGACGCCGAAGCCCCACGAGGTGCCTCGATCACCTCTTGCCATTCGCACCGTCACTGTCTCCATGATGACCGCTTCTGGTATAGACCCTGCTGCTCGACGAAGGTACGCTGTAGATGATCAGGCGCGAAACGCGAAGCCTGAGCAGCCGTTGAGAGCTGGGCGATCTTCCGATAAGGGGGCGTTGAAACCTCCAGCCGCCCCTCTCTGCCCTCCCCTCTCCCTCCCACCATCCGCAAATCCCCGGGCAGATTATTGATCCTCGCACTTTCACCCTGCCGATCATCCATGTGCAAATCCGAAATTACAGCCTTCGTCTATGCAGAGGGATCAATCACGTTGACTACTGAACACACTACGACTCTGGAGCCATTGAGGAACGCTGTCCATGCTTGCACCCACTCTGTCCAGGGACGGACCCATTTTCTATTTTTACGCTCGAGTACGCGTTGTACGAGTAGAGCTGCGCCGAATGGCTTTTTTGTTTCCAATTGTTTTCAGCACTTCATGCTTCTTCTTTCACGGAAGCAAAGAGCGATTGGGAGGGTCCATTTGCACTACGAAATTCTTCAACGCTGATCGTGAGGTCTCGATCAAGGAGAGCAGTTTCTCTATAATGATTTGCCTTGAGATCATTGCGATCTCTGGGTGTACAAATCCTTGCGGCCGCAATATGAAACACGATTAGACGCTCAGTATTATAAACACTCGATTCTAGTATAAACACCAGCAGTCAGGCAGACTTTGCAACAATTTCACTGCTGCATGCATGTTCAGTATTACCCGAATAGAAATCGCGTATGCGGTGATACGGTCACCTGCCCTGCTGCGGGCAAGCAAAAAAGATTGGGAGATAATGGGAGAGAACATAAAATTCCTATTCAGTTTAAAGCGGTTCTTCAGTTTCAGTTTCTCGCAATTGCCCTTTCATTGCCTCTACCGCACTCACGTCCTGCTTTTGTGAATTGCGTAATCTTAAACATGGAAACGAGAACTATTTCGAGCATTCATAGAGAAAGTGTAAATTATCTCCTCTTACAAAGCCCCTGCGGACCATAAAAATACTGCAGGATTGGCCAAAAAGGCCCTTCACTCCGTGTTTGAAACGTCGTTAATCACATTTTACTAAATCCAACCCCAATTCTCCCAACTCAGCATTGGATAGCACGTCCAATTCACCAAATAACAGCCTTTTATAGAAATCAGAAGAATTTTCCATAGAAACCTTGTGCACGCTTCGAGTTCAAGCGTGGCCCTCGACGGATCGTGGACCAAAAATACGTCATCTGAAACGGTGGTCGGAAGGAGCCGTGCACAGTCAGAGCTACTATTTCCAGGAAATTTCTAACCATTAGGTAAACAATTGAAGAAATTACGTAGGGTTCAGCATGGAAATTATGAAAAAAACCTGCTAAGGCTGATGGCGCTTGCAGATGACGTCAAACTGTGAAGACGACGAGGGCAGTGAACACGGGCTTGCATCTGCCTATAGAGGGACATTTCGGGAATATCTCGGTGAAAAACTTCCATAGGCCACTGCACCCTGTGCGAGTTAAAGCTTGCTGTTGCGTGTCCCCAGCGAAGTGTCCCTTTTCTGGCCACCCCTGTATAGAAGACATACAATAGATGCCGTTTTTCTTAGCCCTCCCCATAGGTGCCACCTCTGGGAAGCACTAAGACTTTCCGCTACTTAACAACTCAGCATTGAAATCAGTGCCGGAAGTTATTGGGTTTGTGGGTTTATTACAAATAGTATGAATTTTCCCTTGTCAAACTCTTTTCTAGAAAAGCCATAATCCAGTAGCTGCAAGGCTCAAGGGCCTGGAGGAGAGCTGCATCACCACGATTCATAGTTTATCGGCTTCAGCAGGCTTTGAAACGTGCACAAGTTATCTGCATTCAATCGTAGTTGAGCTCTGTTTTATCTTGGCTCCAGGCTATGAGCTGGCTCACAGAGCGCAACTGGAAGCGACTGGCGACAATGCAGGTACTGCATCTTGCTACCAATCGCTAGCGAATCAAGCTTGGTCGCGAAGTCTGACGTGTGTCTTACCGACAATATCAGAAGGGCATTTAATAGAAAGGGTGATTGCTGTGGACTGCCAATTAGAGTTGATACTAACTGGTGATTGAGGTTGGAACAAGTATTTCGAGAGAAGTAAACAACCGGCAGCATCGCTTGGAGTGCTGAGTAAACGCTCAATCAGGTAACTTGCTCAACTGCGTGATTCGAGAATCACACCGCAGAGCTTCTTCTGTTGCACATGACTTGGGTCTATGTGACCCGACTGGAGTAGTTTCGAGAACCACGTTAACTTGGGTTTCTGCGGCTACTGCTTAGCATTATTCTATTTTACAAACTAATTATGAGTGCTATGTGCCAATGCACAGAATACACATTCATCCCCCAAGAGGCAGCGACATTCCTTCCGATAGGAACCATGGGTCCTGGAAGGGATATTTGTAGAATGGGGCTTTCATTGAAGGGTTATCTGTTGCACACGGTACTCCGCTACTTCGCAGTAGTTTTTCTTACCGCTGACCCTTCACGCGACAGCCGCTGCAGTTACCTTCTCCTGTAAGATACATGTTTCGCATCTCTACGTTCTGCAGTCCTGGCTTCATTTTCAAGGGCAATACCCTGCGAATGGAGTATGAGTAAGCGAGTTGGGCGTACTATGTGTTATAGGGTTTTACCACGATCACAACATCACAATTGATGACTCATCACTGTTTCTGTTTCCAGCCTTCTTAACGCCTGATATCACCTGCTCCCCTCTCCTTCCCACTCGCGGCTGTAACCCTTCTGGAATGGTCAGGTGTGGTATGTGAGTGCTTACATAGCCATTAGAGGTATATCACAGTCAGATCACGAAACTTGGCTTGTTTTATCGCTGATCCTCCACTGATATGAGAATGGCATTTTGAATACAGACATACAGAAAAACAGACCAACATACCGACAGACCAAGTTTTGTAATACCAGTTTGTCCCTCAGGAATCGTCAGAGCACTTCCCCTGCGTAGGCTTTATCCCCTTCCATTGGGCTCATTTTCACTTGTGAAGCCGGTGAGGATCAGTACGTGAAAAAAGATGTCATGTGTAGTAGAGTCGCAATGGTGACATTGCATTGAAACAAAAGTTTTTCACTGTCTTAGCGATTAGCTTTTCCCTCCTCTGCCCCCCCCCCCGTCTTCCTTCCCCTCTTTTCACTCTGCAACCGCAGCATACAGAAGCGGTCAAAAGTGTTCGCGAAACGGTTTTTCGTGCTCCTCTTTTCTTTTGCCAGAAAAAAAAAACTAGCGGCTATCTCGGAACTTTTTTTTGAATATCCTGATTATTGGAGACTCAGGCATTTTAAAACGTTAGAAAACATAGCGGATCACTCTTTGGAGGGAGTTGTAGTCTAGTCTCCGCCTAAGGGCACGTGCGAAACGGAGACTAAACTACTCTTTGAGTCCCACCCCCTGAATAAATTTTGAATAAAACACACATAAAAATATTGAGATCGAAAAACAAAACAAAAACAGTTTTAATTTTACAAATAGAAAAGTTTAATCATATATAAAGCCATTAATTTTTTTGCTCACGTGATAAAAATAATGCACGAAAAATCTTTCGGCGAACACTTTTGACCGCTATTGTATATGGAAAGACCGAGGGTGTGCTCAGTTGGATGTCTTATAAAATTCTGGAGTAAAATCTCTACATATCACTAGATCTATAGCATTAGACAAAGCTCCTTCCTAATTCAGCTTGGAACACGAAGCCAAGATCACACGCAGCGCGACCTTTCAATCATAAGAAGCTACAACTATGCCTGATCCGCAGCAAATCCATGTAGCTGCAAGCAACGTTAGGCTGCTTTCATACTTTGCGCCTTTATGGACGTTGTGGTCCGTGCGGACGGTGCGGAGAGAGCGAAACGCGTCATGCGCCAGTGCGCGTCAACACGCGCACTGGCGCATGACGCGTACTTGGCGTGCAATCGGTAGCTTCCGATCGACGATCTCAATTTCGATGCCTTCCTTCCATTTTTTTCTGATTTTTTGTGCTTTCGTCCTGTCCTTTTGCTCGAAACTTTTCTCTTTTGTACTAAACATTGGCTTTCCTCACTGATGGCCTCAGTTGCGGCTTACCGCCCGTTCAGAGGAAGGAAATCAGGGAACTGAGAAATATTGATTGGGACAAAAAAGAAGAAATCTAAGCAAGAAAAGCACGAGCGAAAGCAAGGCGGCACACAAAACATCAAAAAACAAAGAGGAAAATATATTGAGACTGAAATTATCGATCGGAAGCTACCGACTGTACGCCAAGTACGCGTCATGCGCCAGTGCGCGTGCTGACGCTATTCACTCTCTCCGCACCGTCCGCAGGATCGCAACGTGCGTGGTGATACGTAAGGGCCGCCCATGTTGGCTGCCGACAGCATATGCTCCTGGGACGATGGCAGCCCATATGGGCTGCCAGCTGATAATCGCTTGCCAGGCGCTAGGAATAGGTGGGCAAATCTCGTAATCGAGTGTAAAATGCTTTTAAATTCCTTCACGGGGAAAGTGA